AGAGAGAGAGAGAGAGAGAGAGAGAGAGAGAGAGAGAGAGAGAGAGAGAGAGAGAGAGAGAGAGAGAAGTCGGGGCTTATGGAAGGGGGGAGGGAGGGATTAAGCGAAGGAGGGACAGGTGGTTGGGCAGGCCAAGGGAGGGATGGAGAGATGAACAGAGAGAGGGATGGACGGAAGGTGGGAAGGACAATCAGAGAGAAAGGGACGGAGGGATGTGAAGGTGGATGCATGGAGGGATGGAGGGACGAAGCGAGAGCGGATGGGACGGAGGGAGACAACAAGGGAGGGATGAAACGCGAGATGGAGAAATGGTTGGAGGATGGATGGGTGGATGCATGGATGGACAGATGGATAGATCCCTCAGTTGATAGGTAGATAGAATATAGATAAGGGCAGATGGACAAATCAACCAATCAACCAATCAACCCATCAACCCATTAGCAATAGATGTATGGATGGATACATAAATGCAATGAACCTTGCAGTCTCCAACAAGGATGTAACAATATTAGGGTCAGGTTTCTAATTTTCTGTGGCCCGGGGCTCTAAGTAGTAAGCCGGGCTTTTTAATAAATCCCGTGAATTCGAGGCCCTAAGCCTTTTCCTCGTTAACTGGGTCTGGTACCGTTCCTAGAGGTCGTGCTGTTTCGTGAGTCCTAGGTCGGGCAGGCCATAGGTTAGTAGCATCAATAGTTGAGCGTCGATTGACTTGGCGTTGTTTTTCGTTTTCAATTGTTCGGGACATGGTCTCGGTTTGGTTAGTGAACGCCGCGCTGTTGCACTTTTTCCAGTAAACTTTGATGGTTCGGTCACTGCCTCATAATCAATCTCTACAACCGAAATATATCTCTTGGCCAATCAACCAAGTCACCACAACAAGAACCATCTGTAAGATAAGAAGGAAAGGAACTGGAGGCCTCGGATAGTCAGAGTAGAGCTTGGGTCCAAAGTTGTGGATCAGCTTTGTGCCACTCTCATGAAGATCTCGCTCTCTACACTCAAGATACTTGGCTGCTGTGATCCAGACTGAATCAAAGTGCTCCTGGGTTTCCTGCCCTTTCTTCACATAGAGTCTCAGGTCATGAACGGTACCACCTGCGAACTTGGTGAGAACAACAAAGATTGGCAAGCTTTCTTGTCTGAAACCAATTGCACTGATGTATTGATACTGGAATGCATCTTTCCGGGTATCCCTAATGAAGATACAGATTGGTTAATGTTGGTCTAGGACTAGATGAGTGACGATTAACACTAACTGCTGATTTCACTATGAAGAGTTCACCAGCTGACTGCTCTTGCTGAAAACTGTCTGGCTGCAGTTGATCTGTCTGATGACAAAAGGGTTGGATGATCTGATTGGGGTTCACTGATGATGTCTCTGATCTTCAGCAACTTGCTGTGTGCTTCAACTTTGACTACCATCCACTGCCAACTGGATGCTGAGGTAAAATCTGATTGCAAACAGACGCTTACCTCCCAACTCGTTGATACGACCTTTTGAGAAAGGGGTCACTTTTATCCGAGCTTGGCCCTAGCTTGCTCGACGGTTTCCAAGGATGAACCAATACTGTGCAACTTGTCGTTTTGATCATGAAAATACAACACGTACTCAATGTATTTTCCGTACTCAATTTTCTGGACCGTACTCTCTCTCAGGATCAAATTTTGGAACTCCATGCTTTGACTAGCTTCAATCTCCCGCTTCTCGTGTTTATCTTTATTAATCCCGCTTTTCACAACGAGGGCTTTTTCATCCTTCATGATCACTTTTCTCACTTCAGGAGTTGAATTTTTGATGAACGTCAGGCAAATAAGGAAGAACAGAGGCGGTCTGTAAATTGATAGTCCTTAGATGGGTAGGAAACAACTGCTCCAAACCTTGAATTGTATGTTTTCCTTTCCAATTTGCTAAGCAGTGAGCACCCTTAAGGCTGAAGCTAGCCGTCACGTTTCCAACAGCAAAGTGTAACCATTCTCAGTAGTTCGTTTTCCTCTGTCCAGGTAGAAAGTGTGGAGTTCCGTTAGTTGCCTCAGCTACACGATGTCTCATCTTCCCTTCCCCCATCTGAAGCTTTCTTGCAAGGACCCTTCTTCTTGTCTCCTCAACGAAGAATAAGCTATGTGTTGTCAACCTTTTCATGATAAGTAAGATACGAGAGATTAAAGAAAGCTTAATAGCCATACCAATCACAACCTCCCGACTCAATACAGGGTGGACGTGCCACTGGATATGTGGCCGGCTTGAATGACACTCAGGTTACAGCAAGCAACATACTCCATCCAGGGGACATACATGTTCGAGCTAGCAATATCCCCCATCATACTGACACTAATACAAAGTGATACGATTATGGCTTTTCCAAAAACAGGGTGCCTAAAAAGCCATTAATAACGAGCTCGGTTCATATAAATCGTTGCTTAGCAGGCAAGCTGGCCCACTACAGGTGGCCATACCAGTACGGATGGCACGAGAGGTACTGAGTGGTCACAGTTTCGATTAGTTTGGATGATATCACTGGCTTTCATTTATAATGAAACCTCGTCGTATGTTGTACCCACCCGCACTTACACAACATTCAAGCATTACAAGGCAAAGCCACCGTCTGTATGTTGTACCCAGTATCGCTAATTATAACCCACATCGGTGTTTGAGAACTAGTGTTAGATGTACCATATGTGCATTCTTCTCACATACCTCTGGTACCCTATGTGACTAGCCGGTAGATCAAAGCATAAGATATGATTAAGAAAAAACTTCTGCCTTAGTTTTACCCGATTCATTGAGTGTGAAGGGGGAATCAGCAGATTCTGAGTCATGCATCATCGATTAATTGCCCGCTTCAATTTAGCACGATGGACCAAGTTTAAGTCAGCGAACCAAGTTAGAGTCGGCTATACGGCGCAATTGGTGGCGTGCCTTATTCCATCGAGGCACTGTGTAGTGTTCACGGTAATCATGAGAAAAGGGGTTAAGGGGAATGTCCTCATCTACTTTCAATCAGGTATCGATGCATATCCAAGTCCATCTCCTTTCAATATTCATTCACACCCTTATACTGACCTTCATCCCAAGTGGACAAGGAGAAATCACTGCCGCATGAAGAGTGGGCTGGAATAGAAATAACAATTGAGCTCACAATCGTTGACTTATAAGGGCTTGTCATGTAAGTGG